AGCATACCATACTAGCAGTATGGGTACTAGCTAGAAGTTGGGTACCATCTGGAGCTAGAGTACAGTAGCCTCCTTGTTCAGTCGGACATTTACATTGACCTTAACCATATCAAATTGACCATCTTCCACTGGTGTTGTCTCATTCACTCCCCTAACGACGATTACAATGATGGCAATAACGATAGCTGCTGGTATTATTGTTAGCAGCGAAGGGAAGCCAGAATGACGAATGTCTGAATTATTTTAAAAGCAAGCTGTGAGGAATACATAACTGACGCCGTTTTTGTCTAACGCTTTGAGACTTAATCGGGCCAAAATATGTCTGGTAAGCTTTTCTGTTTTCACATCTTTATCTAGTGTAAAAGCCTGATTTTGGTAAACGCCACCGTGGTCGCAAGACGCCTCCATCCAACTGCTTGTTTAAATAAAATTTCTCTTAAGAAAACTGCTCGCAGCAGGGCATGCCTCTTAAACTGGAGGACGCCCAGGCCTTGTTTTCGACAGCCCATAGTGTTGGCCACGCGGTAGTTGCGCTGGACCAACACGGGGCTAGATTGGAGTCCGGCAGGCGTTATCGGGAATGCGCACCTGTAACAAATGTCAACATTGGGTGGTATGGTAGCACATCCGGTTACCGGCTCACTTCACGTCAATTGGGATCCGTGCTCCTCCCCCTCATTTTTGTTGTGATATAAAACCCTGGTCAGTGTCTGTTGTAGACCAGGGGGTGTGGTGGTACGCCTAGGTGCGGGTTCATGCCGTGCCAGACGCCTGCGCCCTCTCCCGCCTCCGGTCTTTTTGATTCAGTCTTGACACCAGACCTAGGGGGGGGGGAGTAGGAGAGAGTGTGGTAGATGCTGCGTAGGTCTACTCTCGCTATAAGAATTCACTCGCGAGTCACCGTCCTTGCTTTCAACCTGTTGCGAGGCACACGGTAAACTTCCTCGGTCACGACGGTTTTACCCTTTGACGCGGCGTGTCTTAAGTCTTGCTACCCCAGCATATTATTCCAAAGACCCTGCAAAGTTTTGTCTGTCTTTTCCTCAAGGCATTCAGAATACGTTATCGCATCCCAGCAATCAAAGGCTAATGTTGAAGAAAAGGAAGGCGGCACCGGACTGAAGCCAGTCAAACGTTTTCATTCTGATGAAGAGAAACAAGAGACTCGCCCCGCAGATACCGAAAAGAACTCGGAAGTGGAACAGGACAGTTCGGTTTGGTCGTCGACTGAAACGGCCGCCACCTCCCAAGAGCCAGACGAGTTTGCAGACTACTTTAAGGATATGTTTTTATAATGCCCCATTAATCTCTTATTACGACTGTATATAGCGCCTCACCTCTTATCTCTTTTTCTCGTAAATTCACTGTCCCCTCCTCGTAGATGTGGTCTGTTTGTGAAAAGGGTGCCTATTCTGGAATCACGTGCCCCGAGTTAGGGCGGTCATTTAGCGTGCAATTTAATAAACCGTGCACAGAAAGCTCCAGAAGCACCGGAGAGGTGCACCGCTATAGTTGCCACGGTAACAATGCTGAGAGGACAGACTTTATGCTGTACCGAAGACGGGGGCGGTTGCCCGCTAGAACTCAAATCAGTAGTGTGTGGTCTGCGTACTCCATTCATTCGTTAAAGTCGTGCTGACTGCTCATTCCTTGGGCGCTGTAAGAGTCCGCCGTAAGATGGCTGATTTTAACAATCTTCAGGCGCACGCATATAAGCGTCAACCCATATTTGGAAGCACAGTCGACGGTTGCCGCGTGTATAGAAAACATTAGAAGCCCCGAAATGATGCATTGCTGCAATCATCCCCTGGTTCTGATGCCATACCTGGAGCTCAGCTTTATAACCCAGCCTTGCGAAGTAGGTTTACCCGTTTGAGTGCACTGAGTGCCAGCGTTGTGCATACGATCTCAGCTAATGAACTGCTACTTAAATTATGACTCAGCTTGCAATGCTGGAAAGGGAGTTAATTCAATAGAGTAGTCTGAGGTTCAGTGAAGTCGACAGGTGTCCTGATCGACGGACGAAGGCAATTTTGCCACTTATTGGACATTTTGGGACTCGGCAGGGCGGCAGTGATCTTATCACTTATCACTTGGTTGGCGAAGTCCGTCACTCGTCCCCGCCCGATTGCTGTATTTCGGCGGAGCAGGCACGTTACTGGAGCCTGTCATCGTGCAAGCACATCAGCCCTTGCGCGTACGTGAGTTCATGGAAATGCTACAACGCACTTCCACTTGATTTTACTGCGTGGACACGCAGCACAGATTTCGTCGCAGCGGCTGGTTGCTCTGGTAGTTTATTGTCAGTGACGCACTGTCGGTTTTGGTAAACATACCTCTGTAGCCAGTTGGTGGTCAGGTTGACGTAAGGCCAGGACCTCCGGGAATATGGGTGGGTTTCTCATTTTGCCTAGGGGCTGCCTAAGCTCTGTGTTTGCTTGCATTACTGGTTCGAATCTCCATCGGTGGTTACTGCGTCATCAGCAGTCCTGCCTTGAGGTCGTGATCTGCTGTCTCCGAAACCATCCTGCTCATATGCATGCCCCTGCCTCGTTCAAAAAAGACCCAATCCAGGAGGATATTATGACTCGGTCGGGACTAAGCCACTTCGAATAGAGGTGCAGGATCTCTGAGCATCCGAAGTAAATTAGGATACCCCGGGAATTTACGATCCTCGCAGGCAGCGCCATCTCCGGTCCATTGAGGTGCGCTGCTCCCCGGAGGAACAAGTGGCTCTTTTAATTTTAGCATTGTGGGGCTACACCGATCTCTGAAAATGGATAGCTGATAGCGCTGTTTGAAAAGTCGGTCAGTAAACACACCCCTTCAAGTAAGCAACTCCCCTTCTGGTTATCCATATGAGCGTCAGCTGCCACTAGGCTTCATTCAGTCATCCTTAGGAACGCCAGTTCAAAGCTAGGACCGCAGAGGTGAAGACCGAAAACATCAGCGTCTTCACGACTATCGCCGGAAACAGAACTCGGCATTCGGAGCGCCCGACTCCGACCCCCAGAAAAGTAAATGACCAAGGTGCACATCTGAGGCCCTCATGGACTGCGATTGGAATAAGTCTCCCAGTCGCCGGAAAGAAAGCTAGGGATCAGGTATTTTCATCCACATTGCAGACGTTTTCTACTGAGAAAGCCACAGCGCAAAAAGTGCTTGAGTCACATCCGCCCTGTAATGAAGATAGAACGACGAAGCCAGCGTGCAAGAATTGTAGGTGGCTCTCGTCGTAGTCGGTTGAGTGGTCCCGCACGTTGACAGTCAGATGGTTTAATTCCTGCTTTCCCCGATTCGAATTGCGTATCTTCTTAGCCTCCGAGTTCGCGTCAGCTCTGCTGCCGATTAAACCTTCTTCCGTCCTCCAACGCTCTAATTCCCCAGGAGAACTTTTAATTGGACTGCTGACGGTCTCTAAACCGAAGGCGAATAAAGCCATTGTCCCAGCGATCGCTTCTTCTTCTGGCCATGATTATGTAGGCCGGAGCCGCAACGAAAAGCCAAACATCCCGGGCGAGCGTTTCTGTCACACCACGCAGATAGGACCACTTCACCAGTCCCCATAAAGAAGCAACTTGGTCAAAGTTGCCTTGTCTCACAGTCCCCGTCTTACTGGTGCCCTTGAAACCCAGGTTCCCATCCGCTGCTTCCTGAAGTGTTCTAAGATGGCGATGGACTTGAACGGAAATCGCCGTGGTAGCCGAGCCAATTGAGTAAGACCGTGCAAGATTTCGTAGTCTGGGGGGGGGGGGGTTGTTATGAGTGACAAGGACTGTCGGAAGGACTATTTTGAGGTTACAAGTCGTCCTTAGCCAATCGCGGGGTTCGGGCTGTCTCCTTCATCAGTGGGCCACGCCGATGAACTGTCCCAATCGCAGAACTAGGTTCGAGCCCTGCGGTCTGGCTGAATAATGGCCGCCAATAGGTAGAACAGCCATTCCAATCTCTATTGCCTTTGTTCGTGCTCCTTCTGCCTGAACCAGTAATTGCTTGCCAGTTTACGAGCGTTGTGACATCCCTGATGCCAATTTCTATCCTTGTCTTTTGTTTTGCTACTAACCGTTTGTTAGTAACCAGACTTTGCTCATACTACCCTGCCCTTGTCTCTGTACCCCTATTCGTCTGTTCTCGTCATTCTTTGTTCATAGTTCTTTGCCCATTGTCTATTGCTCTTTGTCTCCGCCCGCTTTTGAGCCGACCACCACACTTTGGCGTCATTCGTTGACTGCTCGTCTTATCACCTCGAATGAATGTCCACCTTTCAATTTATTCCCCGCCTTACTAACTCTATCGTGTTCCACTAATCTTACTGTGTATTGCTATAGAACCACAAAGAACAACCGAGTTATCCCGACTGTCTTCTGACATAGCTCTGACCTCGAGTGCGTCTATTCCGGTGAATAAACCAGCACTGAATCGAGAAAATCTAAAGAATACTAACAAACGTCTATAGGATTCTATATCAAACTTCCAAGATGCAATGAGATCCTGCAATCATATCGATGAGTCTATACTTCCACCCAAATATGGCACAGTATCCCAATGTTTCCAGTGAATTAAGAGATGATGGATAGTCCCTAGCGAAAAAACTCCCTGGGGGAAGACAAAATCAATCTGTAGATATACTGCACAGGAGGTGGAGAGTTCACAAAAGACAGGATTTGTACAAAACTGCTTCCCCTACAGGCACGCGACTTTGGAGACGAATTCAGTTGCTGTTTTCTTCAAATTTTAGAGAGGGGTTCAACACCCATGACAGAGAGACAGGTTCCCAGACATCTTCGAGCCATCCGGAAAAGTGACAGTCTCGACTGAAAAGGATGTGTATAAAGAACAAGTGAGGAGACATGCGTAGAGCATAGGGCATAGCTAAACCGCCGCTACGATGAAGAGCTAAAACATCTAGATGACGAAAAAAACCAATACAATGGGACATACTATATGGATGCCATTGAAAAAGATGTGCTAGCTCTATTTCCAAAACTTGGTGTCGATGGCTACAGGCGAACAGGGAATCGCAGCAGTAACGGAAGTACGGTGGTGGTGGTGGTAATAGTAGTAGCAGCAGTAGTAGTAGTGGTTGTATTAGTAATAGTAGTAGTGGTGGTGGTGGTGGTAGTAGGAGCAGTAGTGGCAGTAGTAGCAGTGGTCGTAATAGTAATAGCAGTAGTGGTGGTGGCGGCGGCGGCGGCGGTGGTAGTGGTGGTAGTAGCAGTAGGTGTTGTTGTAGTAGCAATAGTAGTAGTGGCGGTGGTGATGGTAGTTGTAGTAGCAGTAGTAGTAATAGCAGTAGTGGTGGTAGTAGCAGTTGTAGTGGTAGTAGTAGTACCAGTAGTAGTAGTTGTTGTTGTAGTAGTAGTAGCAATAGTAGTAGTGGTGGTGGTGGTGGTAGTAGTTGTAGTAGTAGTAGTAGTGGTGGTGGTGGTGGTGGCAGCAGTAGCAGTAGTAATAATAGCAGTGGTTTTAGTAGTAATAGTAGTAGTGGTGGTGGTGGTAGTAGCAGTAGTAGTGGTGGTGGTAGTAGCAGTAGTAGTGGTAGTAGTAGTGGTGGTGGTGGTGGTAGCAGTAGTAGTAGTAGTAATAGTAACATTTAAACGTTCAGGGTGCCAGAGGGGAGATTTGCACCGCCGGGCAGAATACATGAGTTGTCAATCCTGTGAAAAAAGACAAAGTTTTTGCGCGGTCACCAATTTTGAAACTCGAAGGTCGTAAGACAGGCGGTGATAAAGACTACTTGTTAAGGTTCTTCAAGAACGAAAGAGACGAACTTGACATAGCTCACTGACTGAACCATGATGTAATCTCACAAACAGAAAACGTGGATTTCGCGTCCGGGAATTCGCGCAGACCAAATTTAGCTAGCCCTATTGGTCTATTGTGAACTAATCTCTACAGGTCGCGCCTGGTCAACAGCCATAATTCAATCGGCATAGAGCCTGGCGCAAAATCAGAAGATCAGCAGTCCGATGCCACTTGCTGGCGTGTTCTTCCGCTGCATGGGTTACAAATTCCCAATGGTCTGCTGTACAGGAATTATACTCTTGACGGTGTATCCGTCATATTCATTACTTTGGACTAAAATAGTTCGGCCAACGTTTTGGTATATATCCCGAAAACATTACATTTGAAGGCATACTCCCTTATTTCTTCGTTGGCAGCAGAAAAGAAAAACGTTGCGCCTTCATATAGCAACACAATGAGGATTTACTTCTACTTCTAAAGTAACATTGGGGTGCTGCTGGGAATTGCCGCGGTCACGGAAAACCATGCGGTCTGAGTTTCCATTTTAGGAGGACTGGTCATATTTCAGTCTAACAAGAATTTGTAATCGTTAATCATTTCAAAAATTATGATTTGAGAATAGGAAAATTACAGTACCAGAGCCTCCGATTCAGACTCAGCCGAGAGGACTGGGAGGAATCGCCACGCCCTGTTGACAAGGACACTAGAAAAAAAATAAACAGAGATGCAAGGCACGATTGAATAAACCGCAATAAGAGGGAAGTTTTTGGGAACCCTGTGAGGTGTTAACCAGATTTAAAAAGGTGGCCTGTCAAGGTGGCAGCAGGAGAGAGATGCAGGTGGTGTGCATGCGGCCACCAAAGGAGAATCGACGGTGTTCACTGAGCAACTGTAGACAGGGAAAACGCGGCTGGAGGAGGAACGGTAGGAAGATGAGACGGTGCAGCGGCTCTCAGCAAAAGTGGCAAGCTCTTGGGCAGTCCTGGACCATGCGGCAATAGTAACTGAAGTGTGTTTGGGCGGCCAGCTGACAAACTTATAATTGGTACAGCCGTGGCCATGCCTAATATAGCCGGTTCCACAACAAGCCGAACTGCAGATGTGTTAAATCAAACAGGGAGTCAAGTTGCCTCGCGCCACGTGCTAATTGGGCAGCGCGAAGTCCGTACCTACAGTGAGTGACCGATCTCATGAAGTGTTGGCTGAAATTCTGAAATGCCTTTTCGATTAGGAAGGATTACTTGGGCGCGGTTGTAATACTGATTATCTTGCGGCATAATTCTATAATATTACCGACTCAGCAGGATGTCAGCTTTTGAATACACTGCTGTTCAATCTCCTATGAAAACCGTACTCGGTAAAAAAGGCTACTAAGTAGCATGCATTTTCCCACAGATATTGGTAGTAGAGAAACCACGAGAAAAAAATTTTCTTTCAGTCGTTTGATAGAAAATCGCGTCTTTTTTATATTTTATGCTCGATGAAACCGTATAATTAGGTTTTAAAAAAGTTTTCCAATTGCCGAATAATTTGGAGTCTGATCATTCATTGCATGAGCGCTTAATGATTTCAGTCTACAAGGTGCATGCGTTCCGCGTAAAGAGAATCACATATTTTTTCTATGGCTTTAAAAAGACTTCATACAGAGTCCATAAAATTTTGCAATGAATGCGGACTATGTTGTACATTTTATGAGGAGCTGTGATAAAAGGACATGTACGATGCTATGTGAATGAACGTTGCGCGGTCTAAGAATCTCATAATTAGAAACATTTTCGAAACCTACTTATACCCCTTCCTTGGGTATAAGATATAAAGAAGACGTGATTCTCTAATAACTGACTGAAAAAAAAAACATATTTTTGCACGTGGTTTCTCGGAAATATATCGTAATTTGCAAAACCATCAAAAATCAGTGGGAAAAACGTACGCTACTTAAGTGGTCATTTTTTATCGAGTGTGGTTTCTACAGGAGATCGAAAAACGGTGTATTCAAAAGCTGACACTCTACCGAGTCCAAAATATTATAGGATTATGCCGCAAGACAGTCAGTATTACAACCGCGCCCAAGTAATCCTTCCTAATCGAAAAGGCATTTCAGAATTTCAGCCAACATTTCATGAGATCGGTTCCCAACTGCACTGCCGCGCATTTGAGGACATGGAGGCACGCCTCGGCGCAGGCCCCACACCGCGTCAGCCACCGCACCCAATCCCAGTGGCAGCTGGCTGACAGACTTCGATAGTCGACTGGGATAGGGAAAAAGTGGTTTGGAAGTCTAAACTCCGGCAGGACAACTCCGTCCTCCTCCTCAGGATCGAGAGTCAGGTCTACTGTCCCCCTAATGGGGCCTCTATGGCACTCTCACGCATGTGAGGTCTGGGCTGCCCCTCTCTCGCGAAAGCCTGCGGAGACCAGGTCGTGTGTGGCACGCGTAGGCGGGCCGTTCAACTTTTCCAATCACTGTGCCCGCACCCATCTCCAGTCGCCTTTACACTACCCTGCCATTGGAGCCTGTTAGGTGAGATGTTACGCACGTCCGCCTCCGTATAATGCTATTCAAGTACAGGTACCCGTTCTGCGCTTACTCCGTGAGGCACACGGTCGACGTCATTGCTCGTGACGGTTAAACTGCCTAGCCGATCTCGGTGACGTCGCACCTCTCCACATGCGAGAATCTGCATAGCGGACCCATTATCTCTTCCAGAGACAGAGGGCTCAATACAGAAGGTTCAAGAACCACTTCCATGTCTTGACGAACTGCGTAGTCAGAATTAGAGCTGCTAGCCTCTCCGACGACTCCAGGTGAACAATGGTATTAGATCGAGTGTAGCAACATTGAGCTCGTGAAGCGGACGACAAAGAACGTGTCCAAACCATTTAAGCCTGAGATATCCTCACAATGCTGTCACGGTGAGTGCAAGCTGTTACATTCGAAACCAAGTCAGCGCACTCCGATTGGAGGATGGTTCTCGGACATCGTTAACTAGTAAATAAGTTGCCTATAAAAAGGTTAGGTGGCAGAGATATTAGGGCATGAAGAACGTTTCCGACCACTCAATGAGACTTTAGCCGCGGTCGTGCGGTGTAATTATGGAACCTAAACCACTCAGCGCGACCACTCTGCTGAGGGATCACGACCCACCTGGGTCTTTGGACTACCACAGTGCTAGGATCAGTGTGCTTTGACGGAACTTGGCAAGAACCAAAACTGCAGTGAGAAGTATAAAAACAACGAGTAATTTCGGTTGTGGATGAAGCAGTGCAACTTCCTACTGCAGCAATTTGTCGTAGACTTACGATGGACAAGATACAGTGGAAGCTCGGGTTTTCGCTGTCCCGTGAATTTGCCTTGCTAGTAGCATTTACTCTTGGTCAAGTGCAGTGGGGAGTTTGGGGGAAATGAGACGGCGTTTCCTCCGACGAGGGGTTTACGCCTACTCGTAGTGGAGAGATGACGATGTGCGGCTTTTGAAGCCAACCCTAAGCGGTCTTACTATGGACGAGTCACAATTACCGAGGAGGCAGGCCTCTTTAAAATTCTTAATCAACACCTTTTCATGACAAACGAGTGTCGTTCACAGGGCGTTCACCGCTCAGGCACGGGGACCGCTCAACCTGTTGTGTCTGGCGGCTCAATTTAGCGACCTCGTGAGCAATCGCCTAGCGGCCAACAATATATGCAGGCAGGAATGTCGATAGAGACTGGAGTGGTTATTCCGTGTTTCTTAGCCGTCATCAGACAGCCAAGCCTAGCGCCGCGCTTGGATAACGTGGACTTTGAACACGGATTCTCTGGCTGTCGGGCGTGTTTAAGTTCGACGGGATGAGCATTACTCCTAACGCGGCCGGTGAAGGCCATTTCGCTGATTTTTGATATTTCCAATAGCAATCGGTATGACAACAGGCCCCTGGTTCAACGGTGGGAAGTAGAACCTAAAAATGTCCGATGGCCAAAGAGTCAGGATTCGGATCTCAGGCTACCAAAACCAGGGTTGGGTATTTGGGTTGGCTGACGATGCTAATAAGCATCTTTGTTGGTATTTCTGTCTGCTGATGGAGGTTTTCAGCAATTTGAATAATTTAACTGGCCCAACTAAATTTTCGAAGTACCTGAGCTACGAGGCTCTGATGAAGAGCCTTGGGGTTTTTCGCACCTGAGCCGAGCTACCCGCTCGTCCAACCGCAGCCTGTGAAATTTAAAAAATTATAATGTATTAAGATGGCTGCTTTGGCGAGTTTTTCTAGGCAGTCAATCTGTAATCCACCAGATGGCTGTCTGCGTCGCTTTTTTACGTGTGTTCCTGGCAGGTCTGAATAATTTAACTGACCCAATCGCGGAAGACTTCTACGGCCTCGGTGGAATAATGCTCACAGCTCTGAGTCGGGACCTCATAGTTTAGGTGGCCAGTGTTGACTGTACTCAGGCCTTGTCCTTGCTATCATGGACTCGACAGTTAAATAAACAGTAATGGTCACTGATACGCGCTTCCCGTACGTCACGCCACGTTGGGGTAAGAGACGTGGCATGTCGAAAAGCCAGATTGTACGTCGCGTCACTTTTTTTGCTCTCGGAACTGAATCCCAGTCATACACAACTCCTCAGGAGGCGACAGGGGGGAGGTACAACGGTTAGCACAAAAGTGCTCGTTGGTTCACGACAGCGGCACATTTATTTCGGTATGGTTCTCGATGCTAAGGCTCGAAATGTTGTAGTACAGTACAAAAGGTATGCTCACTCATGAAATGTTAACTGAAATTCTAAAGTGCGTTTCCGTTTCAAAATGCTTACTTAGGTAGGGTTTTAAAACTACTCATCCATAATAATTCGTTAACTCGAAATGCCAGCTTTCGAACGAACTTCTTTCCGACTGCATGCAAGAACCACACTCTGTAAAAT